TTCTCTATTTTTTAAAAAAATATATAATTCAATAAAATAAAAATAAAGAAATATTTTTGAAGAGAAAAAATGTCCTGAAAATTTTATCGTTATTTTTGATTTTTAAATTTGAAAATTTTTTTTAAAAAATAAAAAAAAATTTTTTTAAATGTAAATGTTTAAAAAATTTTTTTGGAAAATTTTTTTTTTTATTAATAAAGTATATTTTTTTTTTTTTTTTGAATTTCTTAATTTACAATAAAAAAAACTTTAGGAATTTTCTAAATATTTTAAATTATTTTTTGGAAAAATCTGATATTTTAATAAAATTTGTATATGAATTTTAAATTTAATTTTTTTTTGATTTTCTATATTTTATCAAATTTTTTTAATAATTTACCATATTTAAAAAAAAAATTTATTTTATAAATTGTTAAATATATAAAATCATAATTTTTTTTAATTTATGTTGACAATTTGAAATTGATAAAATTTAATCAATATTTTTTCAATTTTAAATATTTTAATATTATAAACATAAATTTTTTTTTATTATAAATTTTATACAAAAAAAATAATATTTAAATTTACATATTTTTTTTTAAAATATATTTTCTCATTTTAACTCAATTTTAATTTAAAAAATTTTTTTTTCCAATTTTTAAAATTATTTTTATATTTTTTTCTTTTAAATAAATCTAGCTCCTTTTTTTTTTAAATCATTTAAAAAAAAATAAATTTTTTTTTTTTTTATAATGATAATTTAAAAAAAATTATTTTTTATATTTAAAATAAAATCAAGTATATTCATTTCTTTTTAATTTTTTTAAAAAATATGAAATAATTCATTTGGAATTTATTTGTGAAAAATTTATATTTAAATATTCCTTTATATTTCATTTTTAAGATCTATTATTTTTTTTATATATTCTTTTATTTTTCTTTTTTTTGAAAATCATTTTAAATTTTTTTTAATAAATGGTATTTTTTTTAAAAAATATGAATATTTTTTTCAGTAAATAAAAATTAAATGGATGAAAACTTATATCTTTATTAATAAATATTGTTATGGCAAAAATATTTTTTTTTTAAAAAATTAAAATGAGGATTTAAGAAAAAAAAAAAAATATATGAATGATAATTTTTTATATTTATATATTTATATATATATATATATATATATATTATATTTATATATATAAAATATATATTTATTTTCTTAATATATTCCCATTATAATTTTTATTTTTTATTTTTTTTGAAAAATTGGAAATTTAATATTTTATATTATGAATAATTGAATAAATCAATTTTTTGGCAGGTCTAATAAATTTCTTATTTTCCATTTTAATTAAATTTAAAATATATTTAAATTATAAATATATCATAAATAAAAACATGTTCCAAAAAATAAAGAAAAAAAATAAATTCATATTTTTTAATTTTTTTTTGGAAAACAATTTTTTTTTCTAAAATTTAAAAAATTTCACGGCATCATGAAAATAGATTTAAAGTTTTTTTTCATTTTATCATTTACATATATATATAAATATATTTCACTTTGATTTTGTATTTTTAAATTTGTTTCAGATATATTATAAAATTTTTTTCCATGCAAATATAAAATTATTTTTGTTTTTTAAAAATTAAAGATGTTTTAGTAAAATATAAATCTTTAAATTTCATATTCATAATATAAATATATAATAAAATAAATATTAAAGGATTTTTATTTTTATTCATATATTTTTATTATATATAAAACTTACAACATTATTCTCTCTGATTCCAAATTTATTTAATGAAATATATAAAATATATTTTATATATTAACCTTTTTTTTATTCGGTATATTAAAATAAATATTTAAATATTTTTTTTTTCAATTTATTCATATTTGCATAGTTTTAATTATTTCTTAAATTTGTTTTAAAATTTTATTTTTGTTAATTTTTGCAAAAAATTCAAAAAGTTTTTTGAAAAATATAAATTTTGAAAATAAAAATTTTTTTCATTTAAATCCAAATTTATTTTTCCTTTTAAAATAAATTTTTTTTTATTTTAAAATTTATTATATTTATATATATTTTTTATTTATATATAAAATATATATATATATATATATATATATATATATATATATATATATATATATATATACCATATATAACAGCAAAATTGTCCAAATCGTGTAACAGCATAATTAATTGTCATCCCACAAAATGTTTAATATCTAAAAAAAAAAAAAAAAAAACTAATTTAAACTTTTTTTTTTTTTTCCAGGTTTTCAGATAAGACGTTTAGCCATCTTGACACCATTTGTCGTAAGAATCACTGAAAAAACCCTTTGAGTTATTCAGCTAGAAAGAGAACAGGTTAAAATCGTTTTGTGTCAGACCCCACTGTCTTTCCAAATGAGTAATGGTGAGAGGAAAAAGATCATTCAGGCCTTCAGAAGTGGTACGAACATTCATACTCTGGCTTCCATCTTCAAATTCCATTCAAGAACCATCAAGAGAAC